AAAAAAATGAAAAACAAACACGTTTAAAAAGACCCCCCCCTTACCCACCCTCCCCCCCAAAAAAAAAAAAAAAAAACAAACTGTTTTTCAAAATTATCTGATCCCTTGGAGTGCAGCAATCCCCAGAGATCAACCAATGGACTTAATTGAAATTATTCCGCATACGGCTTGTTCCGTATACAGCCGGTTACCTTGCAAAACCAAGACCTACTACTGCAAATAGATTAAAATGGGGCTCGTATTATTATTATTATTATTATTATTATTATTATTATTATTATTATTATTATATGCGTTCTATTTTTGTCGTCTGGTGAAGTTGAATGCCGCAATGCAGTCGTGTGTTTGACCTTGATGCCCTTGGCTGTGAAGAATTTTACCAAGAAGGACTATCTTGTCTTACTTCAGTGATGTCGATATGAACCTAAAAACGCCTAGAATCTCAAAGGAGGTATCAAAATTCGGAGAAACCAGTCGCGATCAATCATGAAAACACTGGGAGCTTAGAACACAGCGGCACACGGGCACAGAGGATACGGGTCCGTGTTTGTCTTCTATCTCAAACCATCAGTGCCTTCATTGCCCAGTTAGATCTCCGCTGTTTTTATACATTCTGGATTTTGCCATTATAGGATTTCTTCAATCTCTCCGCCACACTGAGGACCTCTTATCTCTTATTCCTTCGTGACGTCGTTATCGGTTTCGATAGTTTAAAAGATGGACGGATACATTAAAGGGTTTGAGACACATTAACCTCCATTTTCGAATTTCGTAGATCCAGCACTCAATCTGCACACTACAAATATGTTGGGATCGATTGCCACCCCATGAATAGTATAAAAACAACCTCTTAGTAGAAAATAAAGGCGTTTTAAAAATACCTTAACCGAATATGCAAAAAAATTGCGACATATCTGGGTCACGTGGTACTGTGACGACATACAAGCCAAGGGCCTTTGCTTCAGCTGAGTTATATACTGAATACAGTGGAGTTAGGGAAGGCTACGTGGAACAGAGATGACCAATTTTCTTTTTGCCTTAGGCTCTATTCTCATAGATTTTAGATCGATCTATCCCCGCGGGGAGTCTCACTAGATTACTTTCGGATAATACGACTTAAATGTCCGTCCCGCCTACTACAAGCTGTGAAGGGGTAATTAACTTTCGTGTCCGCCCAGCTGACAGCTATTTAGCGTGAACCCCCAGGGAGTTAGGTCGATCTAAAGTAGGTCGATCTAATCTATGGAAATGGGGTGTAAGTGTGCTGCCGTGGGATGCATTAAAAAGCAGCAAAGGATCTGGCGCTCGTTGACGATCTTGTTACTTTGTGATGGCGTTCCGTGACTTTCTTACTAACGTCGGTGACAATAGATGTGATGAGACTTGTTGATGCAATTTAAATGCCTGGTAGTTGACAATTAAATTTGTTAATTACGCACTGCGGAGGATGGGCCAGCAAAGATAATCTGGAAAAACTGTCAGAAAATCTGGCGATCGGGGGAGATTGGGGGCTCTGTGCACCGCCGTAAGAGCATCAGCGGTTATCTGTACTTCTCAGTGTTCCCTAAAGACCATGTGCAGCATTGATCCCGAGTGTTCTCGTGTTCCTTCCCTATCAGCCCGTAGACTTTTATGTTGTTTTTCCGGGGGTATTGTACATTATAGCTAGCCATTTCGATGGCATATTTTTTAGAAATGTTTCAACTGGTTTCTGTAATCAAATACTTCATACATTTAACGATAAAGAAAAGTCAAATTGGCCTCTTAGTTATTTGTTCCATACATATATCTGATAACAAGTAGATCAAACGAAGTGTGGGTGTGTGTCTAGAATGTTTATTTTAGATAACGCAATCAATAGCTTGCGGCTACTTTCACGGTGTCGCCCGGCATAAAAAATCGTGACTTCTTTTGTCGCAGGTCATTATCAATATTCTTAGCCATTTAAAATGTCTTTCAGAAACATCCATGATTTGCAGACGATATGGTGACGATATGTTGTACACGAAACACGTCAACACTGCATTCTCTTACAAAGTAATTTGCAAAATCTTTTCGTTACCAGGCATTGTGAAAATATTCTTGAAGTTAAGGACAAATTCATCAGTAAATTAAACATGCATATCGTAATACCTTTTAAGTGCGTGTCGTCTGAGTTTTTAACATTAATTTTGTTAACATTATACAAAAGCGTTGTTATTCTATTTTCGTCACTCTAACCATATGTTTCCTTGCTCTAACCATCGTACTGAATATGAACTTTGTGCCAAGGCATGTATCGATAGATATTTGCATGATTACACACAAAAAATAAATTTATCGGTTTCTTTTACCAGAATTTTAGAAATATTGAAATTTGCGAATGTGTTTTTAACTTTATTTTTCATTTTTCTGTTTACCTTGAATGGACGCATATATTGAGTATACATTTTTATACCAGTAAATATAGTCGTAATTAAATGCTAGTTCATTTTATTGAAATGACAGCAAAATGGTTTCACATGCCTTCACGAGTGTTTAAATCTCTAGGGTAAGAGAGGTGAATGTACGTTGTACGATTAACATTTCTTTAATTACCACTCATTATGCAAATGTGGCCTCGGTGACCAGATCTCGTGAACCGTTCAAATGTCCACGTCTCATAGATGAAGTATAGAATAGGTTAATCTGAAAGCTCGGTTGATAATTTTGAGTAACCTATGTGGTCAAAATGAATATAAACGTTCGCTTTAATTGCTAACTGAACAGGCTATGCATATGAATGTATTTCAGTCTATGTCTGCAGGGTTACTGAAACTGTCACAATCTATATTGCTAGGCAGTGTGGCGGACACTCACAAGAGTTCGTACTGAGAGTCAGTTCCTGCTGTTTGAATCAGGGGAATAAAGTGGTCGTTTTACATTTATTACTTATAAATGTGAGCCCGGGAATTTCTTTATTGACAAATGTATTATTATTATTATTATTATTATTATTATTATTATTATATAATTGATTGCTGCTTCCGCCGCTGTCGCCGCTGGCAAAAACAAGGACCATATCTCCTCCGTTCACTTCCATCACTTGATCCACATGTTAATAGTACAATATATATGCGCCAATGGACTGTGGAAATAACTGATTAGCCTAATGGTATTGATGAAGGGTGATGTATATCACTGTGACTGCTTAGAACCTTCACTGGCTCTAAGAACTTTTAAAGTATTCAGAAAATGTAATAAAAATAATATTTATCTAAATAATATTTACCTATAGCAGTACTGCGTGACAACAACACAAACTTACATAGTGCCTGTCTCTTTATCGTGTCACCCCCACACGTAAAATTGCTACTGTTCCCCCTCCAGTCTGAGAGAGAGAGAGAGAGAGAGAGAGAGAGAGAGAGAAAACCTGAAAATTGCTTCCCTACGTGTTATTTGCACACGGCAAAGATTGAGTACCTTTA